AGAGAGAGAGAGAGAAGAAGAAAGAGGGGGGGGTGTTAAAAAGTTTTCCCTAAAACTTTATAGTGATTTGAATGTAGTTGGAGAAGCATGTTTGTACCATAAGTGCTTTATGCTATCCTTGACTGATTGCAAGTCTAGTGCTACTTTTCTTGACAGGCCTCTGTATATGCTTTTGTCATAGAGAGAGAGAGATCCTAATCTGTGTTGCAACATACAACACACATACTGGAGAACCAGATGCTTACTTCTCATATCACATAACACAAACACACACACACTAGAGAGAGACACACACACTAGAGAGAGAGAGAGAGAGAGAGAGCAAGCTAGAGAAAGAGAGGCTCTAATTCCTCTTGCTCAACCCGAGTCCAGGAGGAAGAGCTCCAACCCCAACTTCGATGGCATCGGAACCATCGCCGCAAACGGGATCCCCGGCACCAGAAACACGATCCCTGGCACCAGAAACGGGATCACCGGCACCAGAAACACGATCCCTGGCACCGGAAACGGGATCCCCAGCGCCGCAATCAGAGAGTTCCAACATGCCTCCAGCCTCCTCTTCTACAGAAAGTGTTCCCCCACCAGCAGCTGCACCACCTGAAAACAATAAGGCAGAAGTGGCTTCTCCATCACTAGCTAAGTTTATTAGCTTAGTGGGATCTGTGGCCTTGGCTTTTGCCCTAAGTTGAGTTTCAGTTTGATTAGTGGAGCTCTTCATGTGATTTGGAGAGCCATAAATTTAAATTTAAATTGGTTTTGTAGTGGTAATTTGATAGAGAGAAGTTTAATAGCTTCTAACCATTCATTCTATATGCTTTGTACTAAAAACTTGCCAATGTGGGTAAAATGACTTTGAATAAGATTTTACGCCATTGTAGTTTTCAATTTTCATGATATTGGAAAAAATTATATTTCCTTGTTAGTTGTTGGGTGTTGGTCTTTTTTCTTTATGTTATTTTGGATTTCTTTGTTGGAAAAGGTTAACATAAAAATGGCTCGTATCTCGCTTGACTTGCAATTGAACATTTCGACCCCAAGAATTATGAACATGCTCAAATAGATTTGGAAAAAGTTTATATAAGGGAGAGGCCTTAAACAATCATATTAAGGTGTACCTTAAATATTCGTTTCGGTGCTAAAATATCTTAAAATCAATTATCTTGATCTTAAGTTATATGGACATGAGAAAAATAGATTTCTACTGTTGGAAATAATGCGTATTGTAATGTATTATCAAGACCGTCAATTTTCAAGATTTTCAAATGTTCATAGATTTATTCAATTTATATTATTTTTTAATCTTTAAATTTTATAATTAAAAATAAAAATATGTTTTCAAGCAATCATAAATATTTATAATATTAAAATAATTTATTTTGGTACTATTTGAATGTGCGCTTTATTTTGATTGTTTTGATTGTTTAGGGCCTCGATCGTATACAAACCCGCACCATTTTATTTATGTTCTTTTGGATTGCTTTGTTGGAAAAGGTTATCATAGCTCGTATCTCCCTGGATTGTAATTGATCATCTCGACTTCACGAATTATGGACATGATTTAATATATTTTAATCCTTAAAAATAGTGCATTTTTGTATTATTATTATCCTTTTTAAGTCTTTACAGGATCTACACACTTATTTAAGAGCTTCCAAAAGTCAGTCATGAGAGGAAATCATATTCATGGTCATGTCTAGGGCTGGCAATGAGCTGCGCCATCATTTGCCCTAGAAGGGTTCAAACTAGGCAAGCCATGCCCTTGTCCTTTGGCCGAGTGGACCGGTTCGAGTTTTTATGGACCGGGCCGGAGTACACGGCCCGTTGCCGAACCTGCCTCGGCATTACCACAACTACAATACTTATTTGGTTTTCTTTTGTGGTGGTTATGTAGTACCATGTGGAGCATTAAATAGAGGAAGGTGCTTTCCCAACAATTTTTATAAGTGCCATTAAATTCTGACCAACCAAAATAGTTGGATTTGGGGTTTGTATATATTGTTCTATTTATTGTGAGGGTCACATAGGACCCTCGGTAAAATTTGGCTCCAAATTATAAGGTAAAATATATTTATTTATTTAAAAGGAGAAGTTTTTATAAGGTGTCAATCTTATACTATAGAAGTACGGTGCTCCTCGAAATTCATCCGAAATTGTTGTCCTGGTGCCAAAAATCTTTATGATGGCTAAAAATATATAATCATCCCTAATTAAGAAATTTAAAGCTTTGAAAATGTTGCAGATCAAGCATATCTAGAAGCACTTGAAAATTTTGAAAATGGACGATCTAGATAATGTGTAACAAGATACATTATTCTTAGAAGAGTGTGGTTTGGACAACGTTGCAACTTTAAATAATCAAAGTAAGGTGCACCACCAAATTTTATCATAAGATGTAATTTTGGTATGAAAAATTCTTAGGATGGCCTGAGAATCCATAAATAGTTAAACTCAAGTAGAACTATAAATACATAAAAATCTTGAAAATTGATGGTCTAGATAATATATTGCAAGATGTATTATTTTTGGGACTCAAAATATTTTATTTTTTATATTCATACATCACGATGTCTAGATGATCAATTAAATAGTTTTCCAACTTCAGAACAACTTTATTATGATGGATTTTTTAGATGCACCTTAATTCTACATTTACTATTGTAGCCTTCTATAAACTTTTTCCTGTTTAGAAGATGAAATCCATTTTTCCTTCCATAACTATACATATAGGTGCAGAGATGATCAATTGTGGGGTTTTTTTTATGTTAGACAACCTTTTTTAGTGGATTCTTGAGATGCACCTTACATATATAAGGTTGACACATTATATAAAACAAAAATTTATTCAAAGGGATTATATACTATGAGACCATTTATTTTTGGTACAAGGAGTCACACTTATTTTTAGCCATTGAATGTGAAACATGAAAGTGTGGAATGAAATCGATAAATTCTATTTTGGACTTTGTGCCCAAACACTGACACATCCTCAACCATATGATCTCAAATATAACGGTCAAATGATTATTGTGACCTCCTTATATCAAAAGTAGATGGTCTCATTGTATGCAATTCTTTAAAGGTTAAACTTTTAGGTATGGTCTGCATAAGGTTGCAACCTTAAACAATCAAATTAAAGTGCACTTCCAAAATTCAAAAATTCTTGAGATGGTACGAGAATCTATTTTTATCTCTAATTACAAAATTTTAAACTCCAAAAAATAGTTCAAATCAAGCAGATATATTAATGCATGAAAATTTTGAAAATTGACGGTCTAGATAATGTGTTATGGAATGTACTATTTTTAAGATTTGAAATCTCTTATTTTGCCCATATCAATACATTTTGATATTGAGATAATCAAGTAGATATTTTTCCAACATTCAAATAACCTTTTTTGAAGGATTACAGAGATGCACCTCAATTCTACATTCTAAGGTGTCCATCTTATAGGAATCTTTCCTAAACTTTTTGGATGAATTATAGCAGAGAAATTAATTTGAAAGATTGGCTGTAGAATGGTAAATGTGATCCCATATGGAGTGTATGAGTACCCTCTGCCCTTTAATTAAAAAAAAAAGGTAATTCCCTTTGAAATTCAAAGGTATCCAGTGATATATTATGGAATTGTATACAATGACGACATTTACTTTTGATATTGTTTGTAACCATCAGATGTGAAATATGATAACTTGGGTGTATCACAAATATCAAAAACTTTTCTTCTCCTTTTTTTTTTTTAAAAAAAAACTTCGAGTTTGGTCAATAGAATAAATGCAGCCACCCAATTTCAAATCCAATAGTCAAGATTAATTGTGGCTACCTTGTACCAAAAGTCAATAGTCTCTTTGTATATTTTTCGATATATTATTGTATTATTATTTGTTTTTTGCTTTCTTGAATGATTAGGTACCACGGAAGTGAAAGTTGGAATATGTGATCAAACACGGTGTATATAAATTAAAAATTTTCTTATTTTCTTATTCTTACACCGGCAAGACTACTCACAATGTCCAATTACAAACAAATAACTCTTGAAACAAAATAAATAAAAGAAAAGAAACATGGTTCTCACTTGCTACCACTATTGAATACAAGTCTTTAAATCAAAACCTTAACTTATTGCTTTATGAGAAGAGAAGATCAAATCACAAATAAAGATTTCAAGAAATAAAATTGTCGGAGATTACCTCAACCGAGCTTAGTACACCCCACACCGAGTCTCCTCTTTCTGATGGTGCTCAGGATATATGATCGGTCTCTTGATTCTCCTACATATGGGAAAACCCTTTCAATAGCATATGGATATCAATTTAGAACCAACTACCTAAGGCTTCAAGCCTTAGTGTTGCTCAACTTCCTTTCTCTTTATCTTTGGTGTTATGGATTTCAATCGAGAACCAACTACCTAAGACCTCAATGCCTTAATCTTGTTCAAATCCCTTTGACTTTATCTTTAGAGAGATAAGGGATAAATCAAAAAGAGAGGGAGAGATCTACTAGCAAGGGGATCCTCCCCTTTCTATCCAAAAATCAAACAAACCGCCACTAGCTAACCTTAGCTTGGGCAGGCCACCTAGAAATGAGAGAGAGATGACTTGGACATGTGAAGAGTCTCAGGTGTCTCTGAAGATACTCAGTGTCCATTAATCATATGAATATATAGATTTGTTTTTTTATAGACAAATTACAAATGACAATAATAGAAACTAAATCATAGATACCTAAACCATACTCAAACTTATAATAAAATACATATACTCTATCAACCTTTCCCATAAAATACTGATTACAATATATACTTTCTATATTAACCCAATACACAATATACATTTTCCTTTCACAGGGCATGTCCCCTTAGCTTGAGAGAGATTACTTGGCCATGTCCCCATTGGCTTGAGAGAGATTACTTAGGCGTGACTTGGGAGAGATCTTGAAGCCCTAGGTGGGGCGTGCCATCTATAGAAAGATTTTTGAGAGAGATAGGGATAAATCTTTAGAGAGAGAAGAGAGAATAGGTATAGAGATTTTATGAGGTTGGAGAGCCTCTTTAATAAATTTTTTATGTTTTGGGGTTTGCCTCAATTCGTAGGGTCAACCGTCGATCTAGGGACACTTGTGGGGTGAGAGATTTGAACCATCTATCTATTTAATCCGCCATCAAGATTCAAATAGATGAGCTAGAGCTTTATCCTCACTTTCCTAGATCTATTCTCATCAAATCTTTAAATAAAGAAAGTATATAATATTTCAAATATTCAACCTTATAATGTAAGTTGGCTATGCCTAAAATAAAAAGCAACAAACAAAAAGGATAACTATTACCCAATTTTGGAGAACAAGTTAATCCCTATAGAACTATCACCCAATCTTGGAAAACAAGTTAATCCCTATGGAACTATCACTCAATCTTGGAGAACAAGTTAATCCTCATGGAAGTATCACCCAATCTTGGAGAACAAGTTAATCCTTATAGGTACGGCGTGCCACCCTTTGGTGGCCACATAGGAGCCTCACCCAATCCCACATATTCTAAATTAGGCCCCTATATTTATGGAGGGTTTCATATATTTTTAGAAAATATTTTATTTTTTATTTAAAATTTATAAATCTTATATTTTGTTTAAAATATTGAAAAGTTAATTTATCTTAATTTATAAATCAAAATAACAAAAATAAAATATCAAAAGATTCATAAAAAATAAAATAAAAAATAAAATATTAATTAATTTTGATGGGAATCGAATTCATTAGATCTAGGAATTTATTAATATACAAGAGCACTCCACCTTCAACTGTGGACCACGATCCACCTAGCTTTCTCAAACTGACCCAGTCTATGACCCACAATCCACTCTAGCGGCTTATGATTGGATCAGCAAAGTTAGCCGATAGACTAGGGGATGTAATCTCAACTTATGGAT